TAAGGAATTTTCCCATATTCCTTCAATGCTTATGTATTATTTAATGAGAGACATGTAATTTCAGGAGTGGGTTGCCTTGGATTAGACTCAACAAGCATCTTTAGGGCATCAATATCAATTCCAACATGTCGGCCCCTGCCATCACAGTTTAAAAGGCTAAAGTCACCTGAACGAAATTTGTTGAACCATTGTTGACACTTACAAATGTTCAACACATTTCCATAAACTTCTTTGATATTCTTTTTGCTAGGGCGTTGTTTCCCTTCTTGTATTCAAACAGCATTAAATGCCAAATGTATGTCTCATTGTGTGCCATCACTATAAGGGATTATAGTATACTGTTACGTCTCCGTTTGTTAATTAACTTTCCGTAACTTCGTTCCGATGAAACTTTAGCGACACAAGTCCTTACTTAATAAAACTGGTTTATTCTTTCCGAATACAACTTTACGATACACTTATTTTCAACAATTGCGCTAAAACAAACGCTATATCAACGAACGTCAATAATACTTCTGACTGCAGTTCAATTACTTACTATCTTCACACACACATTACATTCCCGCGTCACGTTGTCTCCCCTCTTATATATACCTGACTACCCTATATCTAGTAAATACTAGAGCATTCACCAAAGTACAGGATAGTTCTAGAAAAGTGGCGTCACAGTAGTCATGTGACTCGCTGATGCAACAATACTAAACTTTACACATTATATAGGCTAAACTAATGTGGTGTTTAGGCAGTTCATTTAACTATTATAGATGACGTACGTTTTATGGGGGGTGGTTAATGAAAGTGTTCCAAAATGGAACATTAATTTCTTGATGACCTAATAGATGAACAGTGAAGGTTAGCTACATATAAAGAAAAAGTAATAAAGAAGTATTGGAACATGTAAAGACAAAAGAAGAGCTGCTGGACATATGCAGAAAATGTAAGATTCACTACTTTGGAAACATAATAAGACCTAAGGCAAGATTGGCAGAGATTCTGATAGGTAAAAATGGAGGAAGAAGAGTGAGAGGACGCAGGGAATCACTTGGCTTGATATTAGACAATAGATCAGAAATGAGGAGTTTGAATTAGAAAAGTTAGTAGAGACAGTGAGGAACAGAGTACAATGGAGAAACAGTTCTCAACCCTCAGAATTGGTGAGGACACCATGACTGATTGTTTGAAATAGGAAAAAGTTTGTTTGGGAAAAATAAATAGTTATTAGGTAGTATTCATGTTCATAAGTAAACTTTTGTGAAACTTAAGTTGGGCACTCAACTTGTCAACTGTTATCTGCTTCATCATTGAAGTTAAGAAATCAAGAACTAAGTGAAGGGGAATTAAACATCATAGTAAAAAATAAGCTGATAATACTAATAGAGACTTCATTTAAAAACCAAAAATAATTGATACTATATACAGATCTTCTCTGAAAAAAAAAGTAAAATTGAACTTTTACATACCTTATAAAACAGCAAAATGCAATTGATACAAAATGCTAGAACGAGGGCTATATACTTCATAGTATAGAAATTTCTTGCCAGGAAACTCTAAAATTAAAAACAGAAAAATCTTTGAGTAACATTGCTTTTCATAAGTAATGCTGGTATGAAATTAAGCATAAACACAAAATCCTTGAGTAACACAATTGGTATCAACATCTTATTGTGAAATTCAGTAAGAACAGAAAAACCCTTGAGTAACACTGTGTTTGGTATGACTACAGCTAATGTCAACATTTTATTATAAAGTAAAGAAAGAACAGAATAATTCTTGAGTAACAATGTTTGGCATGACTACAGCTGGTGTCAACATCTTATTATAAAGTTAATTAAGAATAGAAAAATTATTGAGTGATACTGTGTTGGGCATGCTTATAATTAGTGTCAACATATTATTAAGTAATTCAGTAAGAACAGAAAAACACTTGAGTAATTGTGTTTAGCATGACTATAGCTGGTGTCAACATCATATTATTAAATTCAGTAAGAACAGAAAAACCCTTGAGTAACACTGTGTTTGGCATGACTATAGCTGGTGTCAACATCATATTATTCAATTCAGTAAGAACAGAAAAACCATTGAGTAATTGTGTTTAGCATGACTATAGCTGGTGTCAACATCATATTATGAAGTAAGAACAGAAAAATCCTTGAGTAACACTGTCTTTGGCATGACCACATCTAGTGTCCACATCTTATTATAAAGTTTAGTAAGAAAAGAAAAACCCTTGAGTAACCATATTTGGCATGACTACAGCTGGTGTCAACACCTTATTGTGAAATTCAGTAAGAACAAAAAAACCTTGAGTAACCACATCTGGCATGGCTACAACTAGTATCAACAACTTATTGTGAAATACAGTAAGAACAGAAAAATCCTTGAGTAACCACATCTGGCATGGCTACAGCTGGTGTCAAAACTTATTGTGAAATTCAGGAAAAACAGAAAAATCCTTGAGCAACCACATCTGGCATGGCTACAACTAGTATCAACAACTTATTGTGAAATACAGTAAGAACAGAAAAACTCTTGTGTAACCACATCTGGCATGGCTACAGCTGGTGTCAAAAGTTATTGTGAAATTCAGGAAAAAGAAAAACCCTTGTGTAACCATGTTTGGCATGACTATCACTGATGTCAACATCATATTATGAAATTCAAAAGATTTTTGATTAATTCCATGTCTGAAAGTTGTTGCTACAGTAAAATGGTCTTAATGTTCTATTTATAGGATGACCAAACCTCTTTTATACATTTCTTATGAAGAAAAAATAATCTGTATCAAATTACATTTCTTTTACCAAACACTAGGCAGGATGTAAGTAATGTCTTTTTATTGCACTATTTACAAAACAACATTAAACATATAATATAAAATTGTACCAAAATTAGTATGTAAAGCTACAGAACTGACTGATAAAAGTAGTAACAAGTGTTCATAAAAATAGATCTCAAAGCTGTCCCAGACTGAACTGAAACAAACATCACGAACATTTGAATACAAGTAGAAAAGTTTGTCTTGTTTGCAACCAAAATAAATGAAGGTGCAGAGAGATAATTCTACTTACCACAAACCTGTGAATGTATTCACTCAAGTCAATGGCTGCCACTGGAGAAGGCTCAACCATCTTTTGAGGCTCTGCTGCCATGGAAGCTGGCATATCTTGCTGAAGAACATTATCTTTGCCACTAGATGCTCCTGGTACAACAGCTTGGTTTCCAGATTCTGTGCTGTTGAATGGAAATTGACAACCTTGTATCAAAGAAATAAAAACTAGTAACATGGCTTTTAATTTAACAAAATTTATACTTCTCTCACTACTAACCAACAAATTTGAGGTTTCAAAAATTTGGTTTCTTCCAGGTTATTAATTCATTATGAAATTTTCTCCAGTACAATGTTGCATTCTTCTTCTTCTGAATCGTTTATTTAAATCAGTGCTACTTTATATTATACTGAGTAGGTATTCAAACTACATTAAGGTTCAGTTATGACACATAGAGCATGTGCAGTAACTAGTTAAATGATTTTATTTTATTCTTTATCTCCACTTCTGTGATTTATGAAGAAGTTTGATGATTCACTAAAATAAAAGAAAAACCTGAAGATATTTACGTGTTAAATTGTGTTCAACCTAGCTATATTCATTTGTATGAAGGGAAGGCTTGGAAATACTCATATAATGAACTGTGTCAAAATGGATAAAGACTCAGCATACAGAATGAACTATATGAGAGTCCAGTAGCTGTTCAAAGTATGTATATTCAATGGTGGATCCCAATTATCAATTTACAAGAAAACTATCTCAATAAACAAAGTGTGTTAGATGTGTTATTACACGGAATTTAAGAGATTTGTGTAGTTAAAGAAAAACATTTACCATGATCATTTACTATATACATATATTTATTGTTTTTCTTTGTTTCTTGGATTAAGTAGCACAGTTTACCATAAATTAGGTACACCTCTCTCTCTCTCTTTCATTTGAAAGATATTCCATATAAGTGTAAGTAAAATATTTAAATAATAGAAAGAAAATTATAAAGTTTTGAACACAGTAAAGTACAAGTTTGAGAAGTTAAACAATGTTTGTTAGTTGGATGTTTACCCTAGTCTTGTTTCTACCGAACCAGAAAGTCTCTCTTTTGTCTTCACATCACCATCTATCTGATTTATCTGTAAAAAAAAATAAAATAATTGTCAGATACATTTTTAAAATAATATGTTGTTTATCTTAAACACAAGAAATTAGTTTTTGAAACATGTACACTGTTTGAAGCAATAGTTTCATTAAATGAAAACAAAAATCACTGACGACTTAAAAAACTAATTTTGTATCGGATGAAAATAATAACCTTTCACCTATATATTTTAAAATGAAGTTTTAGTGCTATGTATATGTCAGTTGATTGAACATTAATTGGAACTGAAGGTTACAAGCTCAGAATCTTTAAAGCTGTAACTCTTACATTGTAAGTAGAAGTTCCTATGATTAAACCAATTTCCAGTTTACCAAGTCTGTTTAAAGAGGTAATGAAACCAGTATCATGTAAACATTTCTTATACAATAGCAAAAGATAAGAGTATAGTTCAATGTCTTACAAAACTGTCATTTTTTATCACAATCTTTTATAGCTTACATGGAAGTAAATTGGCTTTTAAAGTGCTCTTTTAGTCTTTATCCAATACTTAAAACTTACATGAACACCCCCAGATGGGGCTACTCCATCTAAAAGTAACTCTCCATCAAGTGTCTTCTCAGGATGTTGGATTTTTCCAGCTTCTTCCTCACTCCCTTCAGAAAATTCAACACTTGACTGAGGAGTAACTTCCTGATGAGCCTGAGTTGGTGCCATGTGATACCTTATAATATCAGAAAGATAAATACACAATAGCTACAGTATGATTTGTTACTGGTATTTTAAGAAAGAATAACAGCTTCATAAGCAAGTCAAGGAAGACCCAATAAATCAAATATTTTTGGAAGGCACAAAGATGAACAAAGAAAACTTAAACAAAAAGGCCTGTTGTTTCCCACTACTCCATCAATGAAAAAAAGAAACCAGCATGTGCTTTCATAAGACCTTGATCTACCAAGTCTACTGGATTTAAAATAAAATAAATATAATGTCCCGGTGAAACATGTTATTTACCTCACTTCACCACCTTCTTCTTCTTTGGTGATGTCCACTCCAAATGCCTGTATAGTTCCTGGGATGTCTGCATGGTCACCTATCCTAGATATGTCAGGTGGTGCTTCTATAGGTAATGGAACAGCTGTTGGAACAATAAAACGAGGCTTATGAAGTTCTTCTGGCTTTTCTTCCTCCAGTGGTTGTCCTATTGGTTGACCTCCCATTAACACAATGATGACCTTTATTACAGACCTAGTATGAAGAAAAAAGCAGCTCAAACTAGAAAAAATACTGGAACTATATAAGCAGGTATAATTTTTTAAAATGGGTATTGTTAATTTCAACCTGAATAGCATTTTATGCAACTCATGGGCAAAATAGTAGTCTCAGAGATTTGAAGATTTAAGTATAACCATCCCTAATTTAGAACTATGGTAATTCAATTTTTGAAAAGTGTTTTATGAACTCAGTTTTTAAGGTACCCAAGTATGATCCCAAGTAGAGAGGGTAAATATTGCATTACCATGAAAAAACTGGTGCCCAGCATGGGGAACTCACATGACCCTGAAATAAGGCCTTAGGACAGGCCTTGCTTGTGAGAGGTGTAAAATATGGTAATTTAGGTTGTTAAAAAGTGCTTTATTAACAGTTGCTAGTGGATTAACTTTTTAGCTAAGTTGTTAGAAGATTCTTTAGTGTATCAGAAGTCTTGGGTTTGAACCTAAGCTATGATGATTACTACAGAACAGCTCTCCAGAGTGAGAGCAACCAGTCAGCAGCATCTGTAACCTATGCAGCTACACTTACCAAATAGCAGGATTGACTGTCATAGTTATAATTCTTCACAGATGAAAACGTAAAGCATTTTCAGTGACATATTGTGGCTTGAATCTTGGATGTTTAGAGCTAGAGCCCAGTAAGCTAACCACTAGGTCATACACTTTTAAACTAAAGTTACCCACTAGGACATACACTTTAAAGAAAAAAAAATTTTTTTTTGTTTAAATACATGTCAATAGAAAATATCAAATGCTGGTGTAGTGATTTTTATATATCCACTAAAAAGAGTTTCTAGAATGAAGTTATGGAATGAGAAAACATAAATGTGAGATAATAAACATAAAGCTCTACTGGATTGGATGACATTCTCTATGACAATGAATTTAGACAGGAAATAAGCAGGTTTTCACTTGATTAAAGTCAATCTATTTGTATTACAATATTTTTTTATTTTATCATTTTTTTCATGAAGTTCTATTCTATGTTGAGAAAATATACATAAAATTTGAGAGGCTGTTATATTCTTTGCTTATAAAAGTAATTAAGAACAAGTAACTCCAAAATTGAATACTTAAGACAAATATCCTATTGAAATAACATGTTTCTTTTCTACAGTTAACATACAAGATGATTACTCCATGTTTTCTGAAATTAAGAAATACCTACTATGTGTAAAAAACAAAACATGTATGCAACAAAAACTTGCTTATGTGACTATTACAAAATTATGAATATAAAAAATTTGAACCCAACATAAAAACTATGTCAAAGACATAGTATGGGATCCAGAGTGAATTACATCAACTGAAATTAAAACAACACTTATAGCAAGAGCACTAAACAAATAGTGAAAACATCATTACAAAAGGTAGTATCAGGAATACTTCACCTTGTGATGTGATACATAAACCACATGCTGTTGAAAACACTGTAGAAGCTGAGTTTGAAAAAACCAATTAACAACTCCATGTAGGTTTTTTGTCGCAACACAGCATACTGCTTCTTAAGATTGGTGGGTGTCAGATAGGATAAGGCTTTCAGAATACTGTCCTTGAGGTAACGCAATCCTTGCTTCACTGGTTCCAGAGCTGAACTACATCCAACAGAAAATGTTGTATATTATTCCACCTGATAAACTCAACAAAAACAGAAACTACTGGATAAGATTCTTTAACACTGGAGATGAGATTTCTAGAGATTTTGGAAAATAAAATATATTATCTTTATATGCAACATTTGTATGAATTCAAATCTTTGAAAAGTTTATAAGATTTCATTGTGATCTTTTTAATTTTTATTTTCAAAAACACCTGAAAATGCTTACATTTGTTGTAGATTTCCATTACAGATGCTTATGCCTTCTTATATTCTTTCAAAGCTTTTATATATTAGTTTGTATCTTCATAAACATTAGTTTTTGGTTGTACTGTAGGAAATTTCCTGCTACACAGTTTAAAAAGTACAACGTGTCATCATCAATTTATCAATGTTAGACAGTAGGAGTGGCTTAATTAGTTTCCATTGTTCAAAACATGTGTTAAGGAAAAGTCACGAAAAATTAGGCATTTTGCATTAGGTTACGTTTTTCAGAGAAAGTTTATTCAACGATAATAGTGCAATCCAACAGCTAGTGTTTCTCTGTTCCTTAAATAAGGTATAACTATATTATTGAATCTAAGTTTCAAATGGACAGCAACTGCTTGTTGTAGAAACCTACAAATGTAGAGGATGACGTTTCAAAAGTCTTCCGTCTTTCATCTTCAGGTCAAAAGGAGGAAGACTTTCGAAACGTTGTCCTCTACATTTGTAGGTTTCTACAACAAGCAGTTGCTGTCCATTTGAAACTTAGATTCATTATGAATACTCTGCCTAAACAACCTATCAAAGATTAACTATAATATTCACTTATTGTTACTTTCATCAAAAGCATCAGTTATAATATTTATATTGAATGTAATTCCTTTTAATTTTATCATTATACTTTTATTATAAAAATTGTTTTGCATTGTTAGCTTAATATTGCAAGATATTATTGGGATTACAGCTGAAAATATCTTTAACAGCAAGGATACTCAGTTGACAAAACAATGCACTTTAATCATTATACATAGAAACATAAGAAAAGTATATTTAATTAGCTATACCGATTACCAGGTTGATTTGTAGTTTTTCTCTAAATATATAGCATGCTCTGATTAGAAATTAAAATTATTTTTCAATAAAGTTTTTATTCTATAAAATTGACAATTTTATCTCTGTTTTGATTCAAAAAATGCCCCCATGTAGTTTCACTGTGTTTATGATCACTGGCATACAATAATTGTTTTTCACTATACCAAAACTTTGTCGAAACGTTGTACATTTGCTGTTATGTTAAACTTATATTAAAGTTTTTCTTCATTACCCATTCAAGCCGTCTCCAGCCATTATTAGTCTCAAAGTGGGTTCCTCGTCACCGAAAGAGAACTGTTAAGTTAATCTTGTTGTAGGTAACTTTTGTTCCTTTGTCATTTTCAAAGTTGGTAATACCTGTTACCACTGATGGGGAACATTGCTTACAGCAACCTTGTTTCAGGAAGTTAACAGTAGTGTCCTTTATTGGTTGTACTTCTATGTGGTTTGTTTGTTATGGAGATTGCGCAAAGCTACACGAGGGCTATATGCTCTAGCCGTCCCTAATTTAGCAGTGTAAGACTAGAGGGAAGGCAGCTAGTCATCACCACCCACCGCCAACTCTTGGGCTACTCTTTTATCAACGAATAGTGGGATTGGCTGTTACATTATAATGCCCCCATGGCTGAAAGGGCGAGCATGTTTGGTGTGATGGGGATTTGAACCCACGACCCACAGATTGCGAGTCAAGCACCCTAACCACCTGGCCATGCTGGGCCCTTCTATGTGGAATGAGAATTACTAGTCACATGGTAGTGCAGTTGCTACATAAATGTGAGGTTTCTTTGAAGATAGAAGCCTTGAATTTAGTTAGTCTTTACCAGATCTTCACTCAAGTCTTACCTGGTCATCAAGCAGAGAAGCAACCACAGATGGTTCAATCAAGCAAGTACACACACACTTTAATTGTTTAATAAAGATCGTTTTCATTGTGTCTTACATATTGTTTTTAGTCTGGTTATCCCTTAGTAATAACTCAGCCAGAACAAGTTCAGCATTGTTTCACAATTACATATCTCCTGTTTGGTGAACTTATCCGATACAGCTCAAAAGGATTTCAGTTCCCATTCTTGAAAGTATAAATCAAAAATGGGTTTATTTAAGAAACAGTGAGAACATTGTAAGAACACTTACGGTGGTTTCTCCTCCTCTGATCCAGGAAAGGGGTACTCCGAAGCTCTAGTTGGCCCCTCTTCACTATCTTCCATTGAGATACTGCTGGCATGTTGCATCTAACAATATTAAACATATAAACTTCTGATGTAGAAAAAGAGACTATATAATTAAAGGAAGGTGACAGGACTAAATAATTAACAACTTAAACTTTAAAAATGCTAGTTTGTGTAAAATCATATGAAAAACCAAACAGAGGATATAGTTGATCATGCTTTAATATAATGATTATGAAGGCGAAAATACAAAACCTTATAACTTGAGCACTTTTTATTAAAGGTGGACCTTTCTTCACCAGGGCAAGCTGATTTCTAGTTTTCCCTTGATGAAAAAAAGTCCATTTTTGGAAGTGCTTGGGTTATAGAATTTTATATATGTCTTTAATTGATTTTTTGAACCTATGTGTTTTATAACATTGTGAAGGATTATGAAGGCCTAGTTTAATTACAAAATACTTGACTAATGTTTCTATTCTTAAAAAATACTTTGGAAAAAGGATAAAAAACAGATAAGAGTGGCAGCATTTCAACTCATACAAGAGACAGGCTGCCACACGATAGTGAAAATTGTAGACTATAAAATAAACAGTTCTTCACCTCAAATATTGCATCTTCGCAGAAGTTAACGAAAGCTTCCAGTTTTTCTTTATCTCCACCTTCTGTTACAATACTATAGAAGAAGGCTCGTTTGGATTCCTGTTTTATAAAAGAAGAAGAATATGTAAGACTTTTATATTTGTTTACTTTTGTGAAAAGCTGCAGATTAGCTATCTGTGCCATGTTGACCATGGAGATAGAACTGTGACATATATCTGCAGTAAATGACATTTTACATTTAATGTTACTTTTATCTATTCATAAAAATAATAACATTTATTTGAATTTTAAAATCAAATATTTTTTCCATGTCTGCATACATTTTACTGGAGATTATATTTCAATATGCATATTTCATTTAGGTTGTTATTATTTAGAAATATTGATTGAGAAAATGTAATGTTTCTTGACTCACACCTGTTTAATAAAACAATTTACAAAAAAAAATTTTTTTCTGCAATGTTGATTTGTATTTTAAGAAAACACTTATTATTCCTGCAATTAATCGTTTTCTTACATCTCTCTACAGGACGCTTTTAACTCTTACAATATTACGGAAAATGAAATATATTATTATATTTTATTGTCTGTTTTAATTTTTCTGAGCTTTTAGAAAACATGCACTTTTCCTCTGGTCTGTGGTATTTGAAATTGAAAGATGAAGGGGGTTTGTCTTTTTTTTTTTCCCCTATAGAATATATTTTCATTATCTCCTGAACACTAATTTCCTAAAGGCCTTATTAATCCTGAAGAAGGTTTTTGATAACGAATTTGACAAATACAGTTTGGTTCATTTGTAACAAACAAATACTAAACTTCTCCTCATCATCGCAAATGAATATTCAAGTAGCTTTACTGTTGTGTAGCATTACTTAAAACATCTTTGTTAAAATATTTTACTCACTTTTTTTTTCATGTGATTGTTAAAACCATCCTTATATCATGTAGTAAGTCTACAAATCTCACTACTATCCAGTTTGTAAGAAACAAAAAAAATATTTAAAATAGCTACGTTTCATATATAAACTAGCATTTCAAACAATATGATAGGATTATTGTACAAGAGTCTGATGATTAAAAAGAAAAAATTATCACCTTGATTTGTGGCTTTTCCCATTGATTGATTGTAGACTCCTTAATTTCAAAATACACCCTCTCTATTCTGTGACTTCCACCTGTAAGCAGATTCATTATTCAAACACAGTTTTCAGAATTTCATTTGCTGAGTTTTCTGTTCTTTCTATATCAGAAATCTTTTTGTTTTTAGTAAGTAATAATGTTTGTTTTTGAAGGAAAACTCCATGGAAATATCCAGAGGCTCAAACTACTGACAATGCTTTCAGGAAACACATTACATGATGAATAAAGAAATTTTCATATGGAATGTAAGGTTTTACTCAAAACCTTTAACTTTTATATTATGTAATTGTTTCTGTTATCATTAATAACAAGGTTTAAAAACATTTTATCAAGTGTGGAAACATCACAAAGGGATTAACCACATTAATGTCATTTCACTTTTTAGTCTCGTTATAATGCTTTGTAGATCCAGTGTTATCTATATACTACTAAAACTCTGAGATTGCTTGTTTGCTTGTCTGTAATTAAATACAGCAAAAACGGTGCACAATAGCGCCATATTGGTAATGAAATGAGAATAGAAACAGAATAAAACAAGTTTCATTAAAATCATGCCACGGGTTATCAAGTTAGCCCCGTTTTTCAGGTCACTTTATGAAAATTTCTAGATGAATTTAGGTACACTAGATGGCGCCACATATCGGTTTATCTATCTATAGATGAATCACTTTAAAATATCTTCTATACAACAATATATTCACAACAGAAATTAAATGATGAGATGAAAATGTGTTATAATGGTGCGTAGAAAGAAAAACAATAAAATGGACTTACAATATTATTGACTATTTGCAAATAGTAACTATAGAGACGAGGTAATAAAATAAAAATCAAGTTGAGATGAAAATGTGTTATAACGGCGCATAGAAAGAACAACAATAAAATGGACCTACTATACTATTGACTATTTGCAAATGGTAACGATGGAGATGAAGTAATAAAATAAAAATCAAGTCGAGAACAACAACAAAATTTTATAAACGAAAAACTCTTGCCAAGCATTGGTTATTATATTATTTCCCTGTCAATGTTCCTATCTTCATTGAGGTTATGAAGAATTCAAGTTAATTTCAATCTTGCACCGAAATGAAGGTTCATTTTGAGATAATTTAATTAAATATTTCAATCCATTCATGTTATTCATAATTCAAGAAAAGATATTTGATTGTTGATCGGGAGTAAAAGTAAAGACCATTTCATTTTCAAAAAAGTGAAGTCAGAGTTTTCAGGTATTGTGATGAATTAGTTCATTATGTTGTGGTCTTTCCTCTTAAACCTTCTACAAATAAGAAACAGTAACACTTTATTTTTTCTTCAAATTACCTACCACAACCAAGGCACATTATTGAGAAATTCTTCAAGATCTTGTTTTGTCATCTTATGCCTTTTTGGGTCATGGGTTGTCTAGTATATTTTATAACTTAATCATATATAGCATTGATTTCCAACCATTTTATGCTACATATTCCAGTCAGACTTTTAAACATATGATTTCTTATGAACTGCAGAGTGGTTTATTTTAATAAAAATGTAAACCAAAGAAACATTTCAAGGGGAAATCAACAATATGCTAACATTGAGTGATGGCTAGTGGAATATTTTTCACTGAGACTGCCCCTCAATTTTGAAGCATGGGATTTATTGTCTTTTTTAATATTTTCAAGGTTCTCACAAATCTGTGGGGGTATGCATACTACTGGTTGAGAAACACTGATATATACTGTAAACACGATGATATACAATAAAAAGATAAAAGATGATTAAACTAATCACCAGAATAACAAATTAAATGTAAAGTTAGTAATTTAAGTCCCCCCAAAAAAGAAATACAAGTATTTCTTAAAGCTACAACAAAATACTTACCCATGATTTCGATCCTGCCTAAGTATGGCTCAAAGTAATTTAAAACACTACTGGCCGTTTCCAAAAATCTTGCTAACCTAAAAATTAAATACATATATAAAACAAGTTGTTTAAATATTACACTGCTTTCTGTCTCTCTCTCTCTTGTATATATATATATTATTTTTTTTGGCGAATGAAACCCACTTACTAACTTAATTCTTACATTCATGATTACGTTTTTGCATGTAATAATATAAACATTATTTTACAAAATTACAGGAATAATTTACGCCAAAACAATATTTTTGTTTTATAACAGCATCTTGAATGTTTTGACTTCTAAAACACACAAAGTTTCCTTAATATTACAAAAACCAAATGCATTCAATATTTGGTAAAATTATAAGCTTCAAACATTATTTTCCTTCAAAAATTTCTGTAATCTGACAATCTACTTTTCAGAATCAATAATATAACACATACAAGATTTGAATATTTGGATCACCTTGATACTGTGATCTTTTAATACCTGGCTGTTTTAAAGCCAAAACAAAGTTTTTGAATTGTTAATGCTGCCAGTTGAGATTTATAAAAAAAATAATGCTTTGTCTTAATATGTTGTTAATTCAAATGTTATAAGTATAAAAATATCTCATGGCTTAATGTCTTGATCTAGAAAGTGCATTACATTAATAAACCGCTTTCAATTACACATTTCACTAGTAGTAGTAGTAGTAGTAGTTCTAAAAAAGACCAGCACTAGCTTTTATAACCACAGTATGTTTGCAAGTAACTAATAATGGACATAACCTACCTAGGATCATTAGGCATATGTTCCGACAAGTTGGTCAGTAAAACAGCAAGGTTAAAACCTAGAAAGTCAATATATAAATCAAATGCTTGCAAGAACAAACTATTTGTCTTATTTAACATAAGAATGCATTACATTAAAGAGCATATATCTGAAATACAAAACACAATTAACTTCAAAAAACAACATTACCTATTAAGCGAGTAATTTTTTTTATACAGCCAGAAAGAAAGTTAGAAAGAACATTTTCAAATGGTAACAATATAATTCAATGTACGATAAAATGTGTGGTATATATATATGTTTAATAGCATTTTCAAGAGAAAACAAAAACTATAACTCCCTAACCATCACCATAATCAATATTCTTTGGAGGTCAAACCTAGGTTTAAAGCTATACTTTTCAATTATGTATATATATCTATGAGTGTTTGTTTGTGAATGAGTAAGCTTAAGAAGCCAAAAACAACTAAGCATATGACTTTGGTATCCTCAAAGCTAATTACAATCCTATTCTTAATCTAAACTCCAAAAATTACTACTTCTTAAACCACACTACAAAAACTACTGTTTCTTAATCTATGCTCCAAAAATTACTACTTCTTAAACCACACTACAAAATCTACTGTTTCTTAACCTATGCTCCAAAAATTACTACTTCTTAAACCACACTACAAAAACTAATGTTTCTTAATCTATACTCCAAAAATTACTGCTTCTCAGACAACTCTCCAAAATTACTACTTCTTAAATCACACTCCGGTTAAGAAACAGTAGTTTTTTAGACTCTTAAAAATTACTGTTTTTTTCACCTAAGTTCCAAAAACCACTACTTCTTAACCAAGCTCCAAATACTTCTGCTTCTTAATCTAAACTTCAAGCACACATGTTCCTTAACCAAAACTTTACAAACTACTTTTTATTAACCCAAACTTTAAAATTCAAATTTATCTTTATGTACAAAGAGATTAACTTACCAATATCTTTTGCTGGGTTATGGAAACGTTCAGTGAATTCTCTGTAGTCAATTAGCCCGTCATGGTTAGGTTCACAACAACTCATCAAGTAGGTAATCTCTTCTCTATTATGATTAAGAAATTTGATAATATAAAACTAAAACTGAAGCTATTTTAGAAAACAATTCCTTAAATGAAACATCGGTTAAAGAGATGAACTTGTTCTTTATAACACATCTGGAATGATCATGAACTATTTAATTATAACACATCTGGAAAGATCACGAAATATATCATTATAACACGTCCAGAATGATCATGAACTATTTCTTTATAACACATCCGGAACGATCACAAACTATTTCATTATAATGGAAATATGTCTTTCTCATGTTACATAATTTTACAGGACTCAATCTTAGATGAGAAATTAATTTCTCTAGTATGGGGTTCATACAGTTTAGTTGAAGAATGTGACTGTGATAAATACTTGGTTCACAGCAAATTATCAATCACACAACAGTGCATTAACACCAGGGATAGACTTATTGTAGCTGAAAGAATATATATCAGTCCTTTTTAAAGTGAAAATGTTAAATTCATTTAGAAAAAAAAATTTCAAAAGAGAGAACTTTCAATGCTCTGTTTGTAAACAGAAATTAAAACTCATCCAATGTAACATTTAGGAAAACAACCAGCTCTGAAAACACCCAATAAGCCAACCAGAACAACTCTCTTAAACTATCAAATGAAGACTATGGATTACAAAAAAACCTCTGATCTACAAAGTCAGTATAATGAAGTTGATTATACCTGTTGTTGCTAATAACAAGATAATAAACAAGAATTACTTGCTTATGAAAAGCTCACAAGCCAAAGAATCATAGGCTTTCGTACATTCATACCTTGAAATCAATGGCTATTTTCATCAGAAATGGTTCAAAAACACCGAAATCACAGCAACTCATTCATTCATACATGCAGCTTTAATGAACTTTCTTATTTTTGGTCACTTAAACGTAGTCTTGGAAGCTCATGTCTACATTCAGTAGGGAGTTTGTCAAGATACATGGTTAATACCCTTTGCAGATAGTTGTTATAATAGAAGTTGCAGTGTTAGGCAATAGTGTACAATCGCAGCCATCAGAATGATAGATGAAGTACATCCAAAGACAGTACAAGATCAGAAAAATCCTTCTTATAAAGTCCAGTTAATCCTCAGAATTAACACAACTGATGGAGGGGGAAGTACATCCAAAGACAGTACAAGATCAGAAAAATCCTTCTTATAAAGTCCAGTTAATCCTCAGAATTAACACAACTGATGGAGGGGGAAGTACATCCAAAGACAGTACAAGATCAGAAAAAACTTTCTTATAAAGTCCAGTTAATCCTCAGAATTAACACAACTGATGGAGGGGGAAGTGACAGCACAAGAGTTGAA